ACATCTCTCCCGTGTAGGCAGGAGCCAGTGGACAGCCTGTGAGCCCAACACACTCAGCTGTCCCCTTTGTCCCCTGGCCCAGGAAAAGTCTGACCCTCAGATGCCCAGAGTCCTCAGCAGCCACAGGTGTCTGGAGCAATTATCTGGAGAAAAGAGGAAGGAAATGAAAAATGCTTCAAGCTACCAACAGAACCCATCACGTACACTCCAGGCGCTTTCTCACAAGAGAACTTAACTTGATCCCTGGCCTACGTGTTCTGTGACACTGTGTGCCTTGCTCAGGGCTCTCTGCGAGGATTTTGCATACAGGTCCAGGGCCACTCGGTGCAGGGGTGGGGAGCCCTACACACCCACGCAATCCCCGAGGAAGCCACAGATCTGGCCCGCAAGGGGCTGACTGCCGTTCTAATGAGTGATGGTTTCAAGTCCACATTTTTGGACCAGTCATCTTGTTCCAGGCGCCCGCCAGACACACAAAGGAGACAGAATCCAAGTGGAGGGAGGGGAGATGAGCAGATTAGCAAGGTGTTGGACCGTGAAGGGGTTTTGTAAAATGCCAAGGAGCACAGAGAGAGTGGAGCAGCAGAGGAGAGAGCCAAGGAGGGGAGATTTGGGTCGAGAAGGCTGGTGGGGGCTCTGCGAGCAGGTAAGGGGGCAGAGAGAAGGCAACCCTGGGCAAAGACCCAGAGGCGTGAGCTGCATGGCTTTACCACCACTGCCTCCACAGAAGCCGGTGGCATGGCTTCCCTGCACCATCCCTGGGCCTCCCACACTCTGGGGAAGAAGGAACAGGAACCCTGGTTTGAGGAGCCCCTACTGTGCACCAGACACAGTTTGGTGGGCAGGAAACCTTGGTGGGTGAGGAGACAGCCTTTGGAAACAGAGGCCTGGGTCGGAATTTCCGTTCTACCACTGACAAGCTCTGTGATCTTGGGGAGCACTTAATTCTCAGTCTCTGTTTCCCCGTCTGTGTAATGAGGATAACAATAGTGCCGTCCCCCAGGGTTGTCCTCAGGACTGAAAGAGGAGTCCCCAGGGAGAGAGCTCCGTGCACAGCCAGCACACTCAGCTGCGGTCCTTAGACATGAGCATGCAAAAACGTCACTGGAGGAGCTGCAAACATGTAGGTCTCAGGGTTCCGTGACCAGCCATTCTGACTCCACCTGCCTGGGGAGGCCCAGGAATCTGCATTTCAACCACACTTCCCAGCTGATTCGGAGGCGGGCGACCTGAAGACCACATTTGGAGAAACGCCTGCTCAATAACTGCTTGTTGTTACCGTCATTTATTTTCTGTGTCTGATTTGACCCTCCAGACAGCCCTGCAAAGTGGTACTGGCAGCCCATTTCACAGGTGAGGGAAGAGGCTCAGAGAGGCAAGTCGACAGCCTCAGGTCACACAGCCAGCGATGGGCCAGGGTAGGAGCTCAACCGGGTCCACCAACCCCAAGCCCGAACCTCTCCAAGCAGGGCGTGACAGGGCCCCCTCCCTGGACAGCTCTCGTCCTGGCAGAGGCTGGGTGGGTGTCCGCAGGCCTCGTTGGTACGGTCCCCAGCCCACCCCCACTGCCCTCATTCTTGCTTCCTCCTCCAGCTGCTAATCAGGTCTCGCAGACCATCCCGTTTCCTGCCGGCCCCCCAGCTGCCTCCCCTGCTCCTGATGGCGCTTCCTGGCCTTGTGCCCTCCTGTTACCTCCTTTGCCTCCAGACGGGTTAGAGCAGGGGCTAGGCAGTGGCAGAAATCGGGCATGAGATCCTGAGGAGGCCCTGAGGGGCACTAGCCTCCCTCCCATGGCCTGGACCACCTCTGCATGGCGACCCCACCCCCACCCCAGGGGCACAAGTCTGGATGCCATTCCCTTGTTTACAGATGATGGGAACAGCGGGCTTCAGGGCAGAGTCAACTTCCTCATGGACTGGGAGTACAAAGGGAACCAGCAGATGGTGCCAGGACAGACCCTGTCCCTGTCTGCCACCTGCGCCAGTCTGAGACCCAGCAGGAAGTCATGCCCGGCCAGGCCCGGCCCCGTGGGCACGTAGACTCACGTAGGGCAGGGATGAGGGGGATCAGGCTGGGGCACCAGGGACGGAGCGTGGGCCTGTCCTGGCTCCTCAAGGGCCCTTCCCACCCTCTGGCAGGAGAAGGCAGAGTTAATCCTGTTGGAGAAGGAAAGTCTGAGCCTTTGTTTGTTCATTCCACAAACGGTGATCGAATGTGCTGGATCCCGCTCAGAGGCCGCCTCGGGACTGTTATCCTTCCAGCAGGTCGCTCTCCTTGCTCCAGCATCATCTGGCTTCCTGGCTGCTGGACGTCCCCTCAGCACACAAACACGCCACCACAGCCTCAAAAAGACAACAAAAAGCCTCCCATGTCTCTGCTCCCACCACGGCAAGTCTTGGGGAAGGAGCTGTGATCACGTGTGCCTCTACTCGCCCATGCCCCCTGCTCTAGCCCGGCCCCTCTAATCCACCCTGTCCGCTCCTCTCCATCTAACCTGCACTGCTCACAGTCATCCATGACCTCCGTCCTCCAAACCCAGCAGTCGAGTCTCAGCCCTCGTTTTTCCCAGGATGACCCAGCTGACACCCCACTGTGCTGGCCTGGCTTCCACGGCCCTGCCCTCTCCCAGCTTCCCTCCTTCCTCACTGGGCCCTCTTCTAATGGATCTACACACCTTGGAGGGCCGGGGCCTCCCTCTCTGTAAGCTCATCCACTCCCATGGCCTCAGGGGCCAGCCCTAAGTGTCCCCCCCAACCCCCCCCAACCTCATCTCCAGGCCACCCGTCTCCACCTGTCCCCACCCCTGTCTCCACCCCGTCTCCACCCCTGTCTCCACCTGTCCCCACCTGTCTCCACCCCTGTCTCCACCTGTCCCCACCCCTGTCTCCACCCCATCTCCACCTGTCCCCACCTGTCTCCACCCCGTCTCCACCTGTCCCCACCCCTGTCTCCACCCCGTCTCCACCTGTCCCCACCTGTCTGCACCCCTGTCTCCACCTGTACCCACCCCTGTCTCTACCCCGTCTCCACCTGTCCCCACCCCTGTCTCCACCCCGTCTCCACCTGTCCCCACCCCTGTCTCCACCCCGTCTCCACCTGTCCCCACCTGTCTCCACCCCTGTCTCCACCTGTACCCACCCCTGTCTCCACCCCGTCTCCACCTGTCCCCACCCATCTCCACCCCGTCTCCACCTGTAACCACCCCTGTCTCCACCCCGTCTCCACCTGTCCCCACCTGTCTCCACCCCTGTCTCCACCTGTACCCACCCCTGTCTCCACCCCGTCTCCACCCGTCCCCACCCGTCTCCACCCCTGTCCCCACCCGTCTCCACCTGTAACCACCCGTCTCCACCCCTGTCTCCACCTGTACCCACCCGTCTCCACCCCGTCTCCACCTGTCCCCACCCGTCTCCACCCCGTCTCCACCCCTGTCTCCACCTGTACCCACCCATCTCCACCCGTCTCCACCTGTCCCCACCCCTGTCTCCACCTGTCCCCACCCCTGTCTCCACCCCTGTATCCAACTGTAGCTACCCCTGTCTCCACCCCTGTCTCCAACTATATCCACCCCTGTCTCCAACTGTATCCATCCCTGTCTCCACCAGTCTCCAACTGTATCCACCCCATCTCCAACTGTACCCACCCCTGTCTCCAACTGTAGCCACCCCTGTCTTCAACTGTAGCCACCTGTCTCCAGCTGCCAACCTGACATCGCCACTGGGTTGTGTAAGGGCCATCTCAACGTCAACGTGCCCCAAACAGAGAAATCTTTATCTCCCCCTCCCCAAAAATATTCTTCCATCCCATTCCCCCTCTCCACACTAGTGTCCACTGACTTATTGAGGGCCCCTGGGCAAGGCCTCTCCCTCTCAGGTCTCTGCCCAGCTGTATAACGGAACAAGTTCGGGACTTCCCAGCCATTCATTCATCCACGGAAACAGAGGGGCAACTAGTCAAAGGACAGACTCCCACTGCCTGCCCTGGGAGATTCCACATCCCTCGGCCTGGGGTGGGGCCCCGGGATCCGCAGTTCATAAAAGCTCCTCAGGACTCTCGTGACTCACAGAATCTGAGCCCCTCCCCCGCAGCGTCTTGGTTCTGACGGGCTCTGATCCGGCCTTCAGCTTCACTATCTTTCATGTCCCTCTTCGACTCCCATTTACCACAACAGCCATGTGAGGTTCAGGCTACGACTTTCCACATTTTACAGATGAGGAAACTGAGGCTCAGGGCGGACATGACTGGCTCATAGTCACATCAGAAGCAGAGCCAGGGTGCTTGACTCCACCTGATTTTTCTAAACCCAAACGACCCCCCAAAGCCCAGTCTGGTGCCTTAGAGCTGGAACCCACGCCCCCCCACTGGGAAGAGGTCAATCCAACTCACAGAGCCAAGAGCTGTGGTCTGTGTCCCACCTCCCACCCACTCCACCCCCGACGCCCTGAAGCCTCCCCATCCCCTGCAAAGTCAGCCCCACCCCAGCATGTCATGGGGTCACCTGGGAAAATCTGGCTCTGGGCCTAGGCTGACCCAGGCTGGATTTTTGGCTCTGCTACGCCCCAGCTGGGTGGACAAGCATCTTCAACTTGCTGAGTCTCAGTGTCCTGAGCTATAAAACGGGGGTGATGACCCCTGCCCTCGGGGTTACAGGGAGGGTGAACTAAGGCCCTAGGCAGGTGCTGGGCTCAGGACGCCAGAGCTGAGGCCCGGGCCGGGTCCAGGGCTAGGCCTCTGTGGGGTCAGCCCGGCTGGGCCGAGGCAGCCGCCCACTGTGGGGCCTGCCTATCTGCAGCCAGCCCGGCCCTCACAAAGGAACAATAACAGGAAACCATCCCGGGGGAAGTGGGCCAGGGCCAGCTGGAAAACCTGAAGGGGCGGCGGCCAGGCCTCCCTTGCAGGCCGGGCGTGGCTCCCCTCGAGAGCTGTCGGCAGAGCCCCAGAGAGCTCCGGAGCACACTCGGCCCCAGGCAGGCAGTCAGACGAACGGAGACACCTCACTCGGCCCCAGGCAGGCAGTCAGACGAACGGAGACACCTCTCAGCCCACGGGCACGGTGAGTGAGGGCTCCCTGCACCGCGCTCCACCCAGACCCATCGCCATGCGCCCGGGACCGGAGGGTCCTCGGCTTCCCCATCTTAGAATGGTGGTGGTCGGGGTCTCAGGAAGATCCACTCCTCGGGCCAGACTCGGCCTCCTGGTTCAGAGCAGGGCTGGTGCACCCTGTGGAGGCGCCGGCCACGAACAGGTGTTCTCAGGGCTGAGGGAGGGGGTGAGGACTCGGCTCTCCCACATGTAGACTCTCCAACTCGGTGTGACTCGAGGGCCCACTGGCTTCCATCGGTGCCAGGCTCAGAGAGGGCAGGATTCTAGCCGAGTCGCCCAGCACACTGGGGCGGAGGACTGGCACCCAGGCCTAGGCTCCCCCTCGGTGCCCCTTCCCCGTGGGAAAGGATTAGCCAAGGCCTGGCATCATCCCCTCCCCCAAGGCTCTGGGATTGGGAGAGGAGCTCAGCCCCCCTCCGTTAGCCAGTGCCCCCACTTTCAGAACAGGCAAGCTGAGGCTCAGCTCTGGGCACCTGAGGTCCGGCCTACGGACTCCCCTCCCTGCCCTGCCCCAGACACATAGGACGGCTACCAGCTGTGGAGCCGTGGTCGGGAAAGTGGCCCACCCTTCCCCCCAACACCCAGATAACCGAAGGCTGGGCCCAAGGGACCCCGCAGCCCTCATATTTTAGGGAAGTCTCCCCCAAAAGACTTGAAGGCAGGCGGTGTAGGGTGAGAGCCCAGCCTGGAGACCGTGGTCCTGGCGCAGAGCCCAGCCCCACCACTCGCTTCCTGTGTGACTTGGGGAAAACTCTCCAGTGTCTCCGAACCTCAGTTTGCTTGTCTGAACAATGGACATAGCGAGTCTCTGCAATTTACTGTGGGAACTGGAGCTGATGCGCCTAGGAGGCTCTTAACCAAAGGGGCTCATTATGTTATCCTACCAACAACCCAATGAGTGGGACAGATCCTTTCTCCGCCTCTAGTGGAGGCGGCTGAGCTTCAGAGAAGGTAAGGAAGAGCTGGAGTGGGGAGCTTGTACCCCAGAGCCCAGGCTCCTTCCAGCATCACGCAGCTTCTCCATGCCTCAGCCTTCTCATCTGGGAAATGGAGGAAACGGTCTTTTCATGAGTCACCTGAAGGAGACAGTGTACACACCTGGCACCAGGAATGGCTCATAGCAGGGGAGTCTTCGAGAAATCATGGCTGAATTTACCTGCCACCCCAGAGCTGACCGTGGCTGTGAGTGTCATAAAGGTTTTGACCCCTGAGGTCGGTGAGTCCCCAGCAGGCGAGGCGGAGGGGGTGCAAGTGAGGGGCTATCGACTCAGCTCTTCCTCTGGCCAGCACTTTGGGTAGCTACTCTGCACCAAGCACTGTGCTTGTTCTCCACACCCCCCGATGGACGTTTCTGCCATGGGTGGTGGGCAGATAGGATCCTGACAGGAAAGAAGGGCATTCTAGGGGAGGCAGGAAGCCTGGAGGTTTTGGGAAGGCTGTGGCCAGAGGGTTTTTTAGAGCCAGGAGCGCCAGGAGGGCTAGTGATGCTGGAGGCCCTGAGTGCCAGGCCCAGGAGCGCTGGTTCATCTTCAGGCGATGGGGGGCAGTGGGACTGTCCCCCGTCTGGCCTGAGTCCAGCCATCTTTGGGCCCCAGCCTGGAGGGCAGCAGGTGACCTCCAAGGGGCCCAGGCAGCCCTGCCAATTCCGGCTTACTATGGTGAGGGCAGAGGGGTGGCATCCCCCGGCCTTGAAGAGGTTAAGCTGCCCACCATGCAGGCTTGACCTGAGCAATTGTGCTGCTGAACAAGAGCCGGACGTCGGGGCAGGAAGTCAGAGGGGGCTAGGCTTATTTTCTCCCGAAGTTGGATGACTCACAGCTCTGCTGCTGCCTCTGGGACACAAGGTAGACACTGGCCACCAGCTAGGGAAAAACCTTGGGCCACTTGCCCATGTGGACCCATCCCTGCTACATCCGTCACCTCTCTGCACCCCCATGGCAGCCTTGAAGCTACTAAAAGAATTCCACTTTCACAGATGGGACCACAGAGGCCAAAAGAGGCTGAGCAGCCAGTCCAAGGTTACAGTTAGTACAAGGTGGAAGCAGGATATGAGTGAGGCCAGCGCCTCTGACCTCACGGCCCCCGCCACGCTCCATAGCGAAGCTCAGAGAGGGGATAAGTGGAGGAAGATTGAACCTGGCCGTTCAGCCACAGTTGGCTGACAGTTCAAGCCACAGAAGCAGGTATCAGGACAAGCCAGGAGGCCCAATGACCCTGGGGAAGGAATGTTCCAGGAGACAAGTCCTGCCCTCGGGAGCTTGGCTTCTAGCTGGAGAGCTACTGAAAAGCCCATCCTAACCCAGGTCTAAGCTGATGTTGGGTGGAGAAATCATAGAAGGCTTCCTGGAAGAAGAGCAGGAGCCCCAGAGGAAGCTGGGAGGTCTTGGGGAGCCCCTCTGCTCTCTGAGCCTCAGTCTTCTCATCTCTCTAGGGCAGGGAATGGACCTCATTCAGGGACCTCCAGATTGTCTGTCTTGGGCCACAGCTAACAGTCAGATCCTGGCGGGCGCAGATACGAGGAGGAGGAGGAAGCAGGGCCCATGGGGCCAGGCCAGGCAGGCAGTGAATGAGATTTCCTTCTGGAGAGGCACAGAGGGGAGCAGGAGGTGGGGCCAGGGCAGAACCAGGAAATGAGGCCAGGTGTGAGTCGGCCAGTCGAGCCCACAGCCACCAGGCTGATGAGGGTGAGTGGATGTGGGTCAACAGACCCGCACACTTACTGAGCACCTACTGTGTGCCAGCTTCACCCCCTTGATCTCATTTAATCCTCCTGACTAGGAAGGTAGCTACGGTTGATGAGGAAGCTGGGGCCCACAGAGGGCAAGGGATGGGCCTAAGGCCACACAGCTCCTGTGCAGCTGAGCAGGTTCAAACAGACAGGCCTGTAGGGTTCATTCTATTGCCCCCACTGACTGCCTCACAGCCCCCATCAGAGTAGGGAAGCCCAGAGAAGGCTGGAAAAGGCTCCATACGGTGGGTGTTCTCTCCCCGAACGTGGAGTTGCCCCATTAGGAGACAGGGGAATAGACTGGATGATCTTGGAGCCCAGAGACCCCAAGACAACAGAGATTTGTTTCAAATTACAACCCATGAGCTCCGTTTTGCCAGCCCCGCCTTCAGAGGCACCGTGCACAGGGTACGTGTGTGTTCACCGGGGACCCGTAAGAAGGATAACCTCGTTGTCCTCAAAGGATCAGAATCCTAATGGTGGTGTGTCTGACAATGTGAGGGGCCATCAGAGATGCTACTGGGGACGAGGAGGAGCTTCCCTGAGTTATACCAGCTATTGCCCCTGCTCTGACCCCCCGAGGTGTTTTCTGCAAATACGCAGATTTGTTTCAAATCCTGTGAGTGAGGACGGAAGCAGTGACAAGCCAGAGCTGGAGACCGCAGCAGGCTGACATGCAACAGTGGGGACACCGACACCCCAAGGTCAGGGGCCTGGAGTCCATGGAGCTGGATGCTAGGGTGGAGTAGAGACAGACCCAGAACCGGCCTGGTCAGAGACGCTCGGGCCAGGGACAGAGGCTGTGCTAGGGGCAGGAGTCAATCAGAAGACCTGTGGGGGAGCCGGCCTGGGGCTTGAAGAGAAGTAGAGCATTCACTCAGGGGACACGGCAAGGAAGGGCATTCTGTGCACAATGCCTGCTGGACAAAGGAAGAGCACTGTGAATTCCAGAAATGTCTAGTTCTCCTCATGGCTGGAAGGGGCATGGAGATGGGGGAGAGGAGGGCCGGAGGGGTGGGCAGGGGACACACCATGCTGGGCCTTCCATGCTGGCCCAGGAGATGGACTTCATCCTGCAGGGGGTGGGGAGCCGGGGGGAGCAGTCGGCAGGGGAGCCACGTGGTCTGCTTTAAGGGGAGTTGAGACAGGGAGGCTGGTGGCAGAACCCTGAGGGGAGGGGATCTGGTCTGGGACCCACAGGAGCAGGTCCCAGGGCTGAACTGAGCCGAAAATTAGGAGAAAGCCCCAGGGGGCCAGCTCATAGCTACCCAGTCCCACTCGCAACACAGCCCCTCCCAGAGGCTCCAGGGCCTCACCCTTCACTCTCCCAGTGTTAGTGGATGCCAAGGCCCAGCTGTAAATGCTGGGGCTCAAGCAGACAACTGGGGAGTCCCTGAAGGAGTTTGGGGATCACTGGCTCCAACCTCTGTCCTAGAATGAGGCTCGAGGTGGTGGGGTGGGAGGGCGGTGGGCAGAGCTGCCCAGGGCCACACAGGGAGCGGGGGCCGCAGCGCTCCCCCTCCCACAGGCACACCTCCTGCATGTTCTGGGCCTCTCCTCCCCCTCCCCGGCCCCTTATCCCTGACCCGGGGCCTCTGGGCTGGAGTCCAGAGCCTGCGGGAGGCTGGGCTGGGACTGAGCGTCCAGTCCACCCTCTGAGGCTCTGCCTGGGACTGGGCTCCACTGCCAGATCCTGTCCCAGCTGCCGGCGGGTGTGCCGGGCAGGGGCAGAAGGGCCCGCCCCGCGTAGCAGAGACTCTTCAGAAGTTGGCGTAGGCAGTGCCTGGGAACAGGGGCGTTGACTTGTGTAGGCACACAGGGGGTGTTGTGTGTCCATGTAGCCTGAGGATGTCATGTGTGTACCCCTGACCTGGAGTCTTCCTCTACCCCAACCCCAAAGGTCCTCTGGCCTGCTCAATAACCCCCCAAAACCCAGATTTAGCCCCTGGAACCTAAGGCTTGAGCAGGGCCCTGGTCAGGCTAAAGAGCAAGGGTCTGCCCGGTGGTCGGGGGCAGGACCAGCCCAGGGGCACTTGCCCGGCTGCCTCACTGAGCATCTCCCAGCTGGGTCCAGGCTTCGTAGCAGCAACCTAGCTACAAATTGAGCAGCTCCAGCCCCTCCCCTCCCTCGGCCCCCTCTGTGCCCCCAGCCCCTCCTCTTAAAGAGCACAGAGCTGAGCACACCCCACAGCCCCTTCAAGGCCAAACCCCAGTGACAGATG